TAAGGTAGTATACAGCACTGGTTCTTAACCTTGGGTTACTCAGGAGTTTTGGACTGCAACTCCCAGAAGCCTTCACCACCAACTGTGCTGGCTGGGGTTTCTGGGAGTTGCAGTTCAAAAACATCTGAGTAACAAAGGTTAAGAACCACTGGTATACAGTATAAGTTAAAAATGCATCAAATATACATATTGAAAAAGTAAGCCAAAAACCCTTTAGGAATAGTTAACAATACAGCTTTTAAAACTCCATATTTTTTTTTAAAAAAAAAGGTCAATGTGACAATTCAGAAGCCCAACCAAAGAAATGTATTTTCCAACATAAAATGCAACTGACATATTACACGTCCTTGGGCATTACCCCCCACCCACCCAAGAATAAAGACTTGAGACAGATCGTTATAGAACAAAGCATGAGCCACACTTTATTAAATATAAATTAATGCCTTCGATACAAAGGTGGGTCCTGTGGTAGTACAGAACCAGGTTCTACAGAGGGGTCTCAATGGACCCCAACCGAGATAATGGGTGAGTCCCGAGCCCCAAGTTCCCCCAGTCATGAAGACAGCAAGAACCCGACTGCCCCAAATTTGACCACCCCTGGACCTCAAGCCCCCACCTCATTGTTGGCTGTTGTTCTGGGAGTGGCCCCAGTACATCTCTCCCCGCCCCCAACTACTATAATCAAATGACTGGCAGCACTGGGAGATCAGATCAGCTATACGTTACCTGTGGTTGCCAGGGGACTCACCCAAACCTGTTCTATCTGCACTATCTGCCACAGCATAAGGACTAGCAAAGCTAAGCCCCATTCCCGCCATCCTGCCTCTCAAGCTCCAAAAGCAGGCCCCTCTTAAGATTTGTTGGGAATATTTCCAAGCCCATATCTGAAAGGTGAACACCATCATGCCAGAAAAGCTCAGGCCCAATCACACGGATCTCCAGGTGACCAATCACTGATCCAAAGCTATTGCGTACTGCTCTGCACACTTGCCTGTTAACATGTCTCCGAGCCGTGTTTACCTGTTGCATCTGACATTCATCCAGCCACACCAGCTGTGGGATGGCAGCCGACCAAATAATCCTCATCACGGGATACCTTGCCCTCAACCGTCTGAGGTCATGAATAATATCCAAAATCAGGGCCTCGCCGTTTTCCTTCGCCAGATCATTGCTGCCCAAATGTATGAGTAATATATTGGGGGGGATGCGTGCCAAATGCCGCTGCTCAACAAAATTGGCACCACAACATTCCACGGATACCTTTCCACATGATTTGGCTTTTAGCTCCTAGCCCCCCACGCAGACTTAGCCACATATTTTGCTGTCCAAAACACAAAGCTCTCCTTCTCCCATTCTGCGTAGACATTAGGGAGTGCTCGTACATATCTGCAATAAGATGTAAACGACCACCACTCCAAATGCCCCAAACGCTTAATATCTTAATGTCTTAAGGCTCATAGCCAAGAGCGGCTGCAGTTGAAGCAGGCCCAATTCTAAACCAGTGAGTCCCGAACTTCAACTCATGGATCCCCTCTTTACCTAACGCCAGGTCTGTCAATCTCCAGTACTGATATTTCATCAAAGGAGACCTATCTTTACGTACCACGTCACGGATTGCTGCCTTGTCATTGTGAAGGGGCTTGAGTAATTCAGAGAAGCTATGGGCTATAGGAATGATGGAGGTGTATGCCTGAGGTAACCCAGAAGTATTACAAATTGTAGATTGCTGATTAAATAATGTTGGAAAGTGGATCACCACATCAGCTTGATGATCAAGAAAAACAGAATGGGAAGATGTTTGTGTGCATGGCCAGTGACTCTTTGTTTGAACAACTAAGGTGTGATATCCCATCCATAGCTGCCTCTGCTGCAACTTTAAAACAATGGCTATAATACAACTTGCATCTTTCCTGACTTAAATCTAAGAAAGATGTGCCTGGTAAAATCCATCGTGCGAAGAACTTATGATTTTACATCTAAGAGAATCTTTCCTGGCCAAATCCATTTTGCCATGAACTTCTGGACTTTAAGTTCTTCACACTGGTACACACCTGACAAAGTAGATGGTCCCAATCCATGAGAGCTCACATATTGTTCAAGGATTCTTTTGGTGATCTATAAAGGTATTGCCTACTCTTGTGTTTGTATGTATGTGATAAATGTCCCTATTGATGAGAGGAAAGCCACAATCTGGTATGACCCACCTCTTTCATCATTACACAGTCATAACCACAAACTATTTCAATGGACAATTACTTGCAGGAGATTGATTGGATGCAATAATAGTTGTAAAGGTTCACACTGTTCTATAAATGTTATTCATATGTTGAACACCACATGAGATGACGTCTGAAACTAGCTTCCATCAGAATTCTATTTTCTTATGTATGTAGAAGAGAACTTGGCAATATCTCATCAAATATAAACCCAGGTAATTGTGGGAATAGTTGTTCTGTCAGAAAACCTTAAACAAAAACCTATTAGAAAAATCTCTCCTATTAGGGAAATGTTTTCTATCTGTCAAATGTGTTTCTAAGAAGAAGAATTTTAAATCTAGGAAAATAGTCAGTTATCAGCCAGATATACAGACAAGAGGAACAAACAGGTAGTTAGATGGATATATAGACAAAAGGAACAAGCAGGTACTTAGGCAGTTATAGAGGCAGGTGGACTGATTTCCAGGACATAAAATAACTCTAGAAGCCACCAAAAGCAACCAAACCTGCCAGAACACCTTTGTATGGTTTGACATGAAAATTAACACTGTGAACTTAACTTTTTCCACCAGCTTCTCTTAGGACATACCCATTCTCTCAGTTGTGTACTTACAATCTTTCAGGAGTGCTTGTCACAGGGTATGTTGCTCTCCTTTTCACCCCTCACTAGAATCAGAAACACATTGTATGTGAATGTATTTGAGACCGAGATCCATAGCAATAAATGTTGTGAAACACAGACTTATAAAGCTTTTATTGATTCTTGGGATTTTGTTCCCAAGAGTCCAACACACCTCATTGGAAAACATCATTGTTCCTCCCCTCAGTTCCTCTGCTCTTCCCTACCCACTACATTGTTTTATTTTGTTCTATTTTTGTAAGAAACTTGAATGGTTCGTTAGCAAACACTGTACATTACAGCCAAAGATCTACATAAACACCGTTTAAAAAAAAAACTGGGGATAGGAGCAAGGAATGATATTCCCATCATGCCACCTTGTGTCCAGCCCTTAACATGCCCATAGCACACCCACCTACACCACACAATCAAAATATAGAAAGAAGTATTCCTACTCGGGCATGTGTTACAAATGGAGTCAGACCTTTTTGTAGTGAATATGCACCAAATACATTTTCCTCAATCTATTGCAATGGTGAAGTTCCAGCCCATGAGACAGATTATTTGTAACATTCTCTTGAAGATTGCGGAATTTAGGCTCACAGCTATGTATCATTTTATACCTTTTTACTTATTTTATTCAAATTATTCCATACAAGAGATTTTGGGGTGATGGACAGTAAACTAAAATAGACAAATATTGAGAAGTTAGGACAAAAATGGCCAGAAAATGCCTGTAGGAAGAGAAAGTGCTTCATTAAAAGCCACATACAGTAAGTTAATGTGGAACCTCAGAAGGAATAAATTCATCAAGACTATACTTCAGGCATACTATGGGTTGCACTCCTGGGGGACTCTGAGCAGATCCTGGACACATGTGGAGCCACCAGAATACATGTCCCAAGTTATTTAAATATGTTGTCACAAAAAGTTGATCCTGACCCCCTTAAAAACTAGCAACTTCAGAGGAGCAATGGCTGGCCACCCATATTTTGTACCAGCTGCAGGTGACATCATATATCCAGGGGAATGGTAGGGGTAATGGGATCAGCAGCCCAAAAAATTGGTAGAATGATCGCTCCGCCATGGTGCCGAGTTACCATGGTGGGGAGGCTTTGCTTTCCTGCCCGAAGAGTGGTGTTGTGGTTGTATGACACCGCTTTCCAAGGGGAGGAGGGATGGAGCCTTTAAGAAGGCTTTGGTCCTGCCAGCTCAGCTTCTTTGTCATCTTGCAAGCAAACCCTTCCGCCCACCCTAAAGTTAGAATGAGATTAGCTGATTTCCTATTGGAGCCGGATGGGAATTTTTGGCCTACATCCTAGATTGGCCTTTGGATGTGGGTGTGTTTTCACCCATCCCATTCTTACCTGATGGGTGAGGTAATAAAATTTTAATTGCTATAGTTGAAGTCATTCTGGTCACAGTTGCAGGTAGTGCGAAGACAAGAGTTGGAGTGAGTTCTCACATGGTGTGAGAATTATGCCATCTCTCTGTCAGGTGGAGCCAGTCAGGCATCGGATGAGAGGTGGATTTCCATAGGGAGCCAGCAGCACACTTAGGGTCACGAGACTCAGTGGACTGAGAAGGTGGAGGTACCCTTAGCACAGAACACCTGAATGCATGCTGTATACAATGGACAGCACGATTCAAAAATAGGAGCTCCCCCTGATCTATGAATGGCCCAGACATATAGGCTACTCTGGATTTAGAAGTATATCGCACCACGATCAGGCTCCCTTGTAGTTAGGGGACTAGTTTAAATAGTTAATAATGTCGTGGCCCAAGTTTTAACCCAACAACCTGTGTCTCGCCTCTTTATTTCCGGGCTGGGGGAGCAAAGACACACATTGCCCACCCTTGTTGTACAAATGTTCAAAATAACCAAGATTTTACTTAGCAGCTATGGCTAAATGCATATCCCTCCACCTGTTGTAAGGAAGGCCGCATGAAAATCAGCAGTGGAGCAACTGTATACCCTATGCTTAATTGTATCTGCACAACAATACGTTCCTCAGTTCTGAAGTTAAAGTCATAGAACAGTGTAAAGGTTACTACATATTTCATGCTGGAGGGTTTGTAAGCCAACATCACAGGAAATAATGATACACATTGGAAAATATGATAGTGTACAATTTATTCTTAAAGAACAACTCTATAGTTTTAAATCAACAATCTGAATTCAAGAGTTTCCACAAAGCTATTTTTATCTCTTTGTTTCTTATACTGTAGATAAATGGGTTCAGCGTGGGAGGAACAATGGCATATATCACAGCAAATGCTATATCCAGAGAAGTGGACGTATCACTCGGTGGCCTTGCATATGCAAAGACTCCACTGAATACAAACACAGACACTACAGTGAGATGGGGAAGGCAAGTGGAGAGGGCTTTTTTCTGAGCTTTAGTGGAAGGGATCCTGACTACAGTAGCAAAGATCTGCACATATGTTATGATGATGAAGATAAAGCATCCTACGGTTAGAGTACAACTTAGGACAAGAAGCCCGACTTCCACCAGGTATATATCAGAGCAGGAGAGTTTTAATAGCTGGGGGATTTCACAGAAGAACTGACTGACATTATTAGAACAGAAGGTGATTGCAAAGGTGCCGCTTGTGTGTAACACAGCATTTAAAAGACTTGCAGTCCATCCAGTGGCCACCATCTGAAGGCAGGCTCCCTTATGCATAATTCTGTCATAATGGAGTGGGTTGCAGATTGCAACATGTCGATCGTGTGCCATTATAGTGAGGACAGTGAGATCTGATGATGCAAAGAAGAAATAAAAGAAAACTTGAGCAACACATCCAGGATAAGAAATAGACCTGTCCTTCATGAGTGACATAGCTATAGATTTTGGTACCATGACTGAAATTATGCCAAGGTCCAGTATGGCCAGATTGAGTAAGAAGAAGTACATGGGGGTATGAAGGTGGTAGTCAAGGGCAACAGGAATGATGATGAGAAGGTTTCCTGTTACTGCCATCAGATACAATGTTAAGAACACCAAGAAGAAGATAATCCATAGTTCTTGGACTTCTGAGAATTCCAGTAGTAGAAAAGTGGACATGGAGGAAAGATTGTTCATATTGTTTTTGACAATTGAATACTACCTGTAGAAAGAAGGACAGGAGTCTATTAATCCTCTAAACTGTTCATGATTCATACAGTGATTCAGTCAGTTCATTTTTAAAAGAATCCTTCTCGTTTAAGAACAACGAGGGGGTTTGTGTTTACACAAACGATAAATCCTTCTACTTTAAGAACAAAATCAACAAAAAAATTCTTTGTCAATTGTAAGCTGAAAATTGCTAGGATGTGACTTTTCACAGTGAGTTCGTTAATTCCACTCTTAATAAACAAATATGAAATATAAAATTAGACTGAAAATATAAGAGAATATGCATAATCTTGAAATAGTATGGTCTCTGAGCCCAAGTGATGTCTCCATAATCTAAACCACTGGTTCTTAACCTTGGGTTACTCAGAAGTTTTGGACTGCAACTCCCAGAAGCCTTCACCACCAACTGTGCTGGCTGGGGTTTCTGGGAGTTGCAGTTCAAAAACATCCGAGTAACAAAGGTTAAGAACCACTGATCTAAGCAAGCAAAGATATTTGAGTGATTTACTGGGGCCAAAGAAAGGTCTTCCATGTAGATTCCTGATATATCAGATCCTGATGTTTCTGGGGAGGGATGAAAGGGCAGCATGATAAATAGGAGACAGATTGTATCTAAGGCCTCCACCCATGTTGAGTGAGGGATTTTCTATACGGCCTCCCTAAACCCTTTCTCAAACCACCTATCTTCTCAATTCAAAATGAGTACATCTTGGTCATCAAATGAGTGTCCTTTGTCCTCCAAATGAGTGCCCTTTGTCTTTTCCAGCTCTACAGTTCCTTGTTTCTATGGTTCGCCATTTGTTATGCTAATTTACTTTATTTCATTGTGGTAAGAAAAATGGGATTCAGACTTACCAGTTGTGGCTGGATTGGTGGGCTGGTACAGCAGTGAGTATGGCAGCTCACACTCATTTCCAGCAGAGTACATGAAATGCCAGGAAGGTAGTTGTCAAATATGTTTCTGCCTACTGGTTTCTCATTGGCTGGCAGATATTTGAAATTAGTACTGGAAAGCAGCAGGCTTCAACCTGGTCCACCTGCCTAGCATAAAAACAGAGCAGGAAAGCCACTCCAGTCAGTTAGTGAAAATTACAGTTCGCCTAGTGATAAAGTAAGAAGCTGGCTCAGATTCAGAACAAAAGTTGTGATGGTTCACATTGAAAGGGAGCCTTTACACTTTTACTGGAAGGAGAATAATTTTGTCCCATCCCACCTTCATTCTTTTATTTGTGACATTTGAAAACCAAGTCAGGTATCTTTTTTTTAAAAAAGAGTAAAGGATGATGGTATTAAGAAGGAGCAAGTGACAGTCAAAATAAAAATCACTCTCCAATAACACCATAATTTCAGAACCTCTCATAAAACATGCCAAGGATTAGAAGATATACCTGCAAAATCACACTTCCTCCTCCAGTCTCCCACCGTAGCTACTTTCCACAGGAAAATAAGATGTCACCTTCTCTGCCATCTTCAATCCAAAACTGAAATATAGCTTGGAATGGGTATAGGTCCACATCTGTCAGCTTTGACAGGAAACCACTTAGCTTGAGGAAGTGCCCAAATAAATCCGCAAATTCCAAATTCTGCTTGAAACATTGACTAAATCTGATACACACTCCTAGTAGTTAAATACAAAGCCAAAATTCAAATAGTTTATGCAAAGGAGGAATTTTTAAAGGAATAATGGAGTTGTATGCCTATGGCAACCCAGAAGTGCTACAAATTATACTGTAAGTCTGCAGAATACTGACTAAATAATGTTGGAAAGATGATCACCACATCAGCTTGATGATCAAGAAAAACATACATGTGATAAATATCCCTATTAATGAGATGAAAGCCCCAATCTGGTATGACCCATCTCTTCTATCACTGTTATCCCATATGTAAAGACCATTTCAATAGACAACTATCTGAAAGAGATAGAGTAGATGCAACAATAGTCGTATTCGTTCACACTGTTCTATAAGTGTTATTCATCTGTACAGGACCAAACCAGATGTCTTCTGAATGTTGAAACCAAACTGTGAAACAAGATTGCCTCAGCATTTTGATTTCTCATGTCTGTATAACCATGCTTGGGAATATCTCCGCAGATACAACATGCATTATGTGAGAATAATTATTTTTTCAGAAACCTCTGACAAAAATCCATTAGTGGAATTCTTTTCTATTATGCATGAATTTTCTGTCTGTAAAATGTGCTTTTAATACTAATCATTCTAACTCAGGAGGAACAGGCAGGTAGTCAGTCAGATATACAGACAAGAGGAGCAAACAGGTAGTTATTCGCGAAGGCTTTCCACGGCTGGGATCTAATGGTCGTTGTGGATTTTTCGGGCTCTTTGGCCATGTTCTGAAGGTTGTTCTTCCTAATATTTTGCGAGTCTCTGTGGCCAGCATCTTCAGAGGACAGCACTCTGAAGATGCCAGCCACAGAGACTGGCGAAATGTTAGGAAAAACAACCTTCAGAACACAGCCAAAGAGCCCGAAAAACCCTCAACAATCAAACAGGTAGTTAGTTACACAGACAGATAGAAAGATTTCCAGGACAAGAAAAAAATAATAAACAATTCTAGAAGCCACCAAAACCAACCAAACTACCCATAACATCTGCATATGGTTTGACATGAAAATTAGCATTGTGGGATTCAGTTTTGCAACCAATTTCTCTTAAGGTGCATTGTGGCACTGCTGAGCATGCCCGTTGAGCATGCTGTGTACTTACAGTCTTTCAGGAGTGCTTCCCACAGAACGTGAGTCTATCCTTTTGTCTTCACTAGAATTAGAAACACATTATATGAAAATAATAGAGTCCAACATCTGCAGCAATAAATGTTAGCAAATACAAGCCTTTAAAGCTTTTGTTGATTCCTGGGATTTTGCTCCCAAGAGCACCTCATTGGTAAATAACATTGTTCCTCTCCTCATGTCTCCTCCTCTCCACTCCTCATTACATAATTTGCTTTCTTCTATTTTTGTAACAAACCTGAATGGTTCATTAGCAAGCATAGTACATTTATAAATACATCACATTCACTGTACCTCTCACTGTGAATAAAATCTATGGCTATCCCTCTCTCAGAGGGTTTTTTAATGCGTAGAAGCAATTTTGGCAAACAATTTTATGTGTGAATGTACCGAATTACGGTTAATAAGGATGTTAAAGACATGCTAAGATGTGAAAAAAAAGGAAGAGAAACAAAAAAGAGAGAGAGAGGACAAGAATTGATTCAGAAGGGTTGTTTTACTGCAACAGCAAAAAGTCCTTTGATCAGTCTGAGAATTATTCGAAACTGTAAATTTTAAAAGGTATAAGAAGGTGAATTAATAGAACAACACCCTTTTCTGTGGCATGTTTTGAATTATTCAGGAAAATGTGGCCCAGATTTGCCTGGGCACCTCTAGTTGCTGCTGAGATGGGCTCAACTGGGCTCAGGGGCCCAGGAGAGGTATGGCAGCAGCTATGTGGTCTGGCAGAGTGAGAAGGGACATCTGCCAGAGACTCCCCTTCTGGCCCTAATTGTTTGGCGGGGAGTGGGATTCACACCCTGGAATTGCCTGACGGGGTAGGATTCACATAAAAGACTGCAGTGCAGTGATTGATTGATTGATTGGTTGTTTGTTTGGTTGGTTGGTTGGTTGGTTGGTTGGTTGAATTTGTACCCCGCCCATTTAGTCAACTGACTAAGTAATACATCTAAGCTATTGCTTTTCCCTCTTTTCTTCTTTTCCCTCCCTCCCTCCCTCTTTGGTTGAAGGATGTGTTGTTATTAGTTATTGCATGGGTTATAGTGGGGAGGGTTCAGGTGTTTGTCTACAATGTCCATACTCTCAGTCTTATCCCAACTTTGATGGTGGTTTGCGGCATTAAAGTTGGATACAGATGGTTCAAGGGCAAAGACATGGGGAGACTGGGGCAGGATCATGGTTTGGCCCAGTTCGTGGCCTGTAGTCCCACCTCTTGCCCCAGGTGTATGAGAATAATGGAATGACATATGCTCAGGTGGTTTCCAGAAGATGGCTTCTGGTGCAGCATTCTGTGACACCTGAAGTGAATGGTGGTGGACATCAGGTGGCATTTGGACCTTTCAAGGCTTTGGATTCAATCCTCCAAGGCTAGCCAGAAACTGCTGCAGTAACCAAAGAACATGTGACCTTTGGATGCTGACTAGATACTCAGAGAATGATCCTTATGTCAGCTCTGTGTGTCCTAGCACATCTTTCATCTTAGCATTAGTGACACAACCCATATCACTTTTCTCTCTACATCACTGTACTTGCTCTCATGAGGACCCAATCTATTCAGCATCTGTTCCTCTGATAAGTTGTCAGACAAAAATAAAAGAAGAAAAAAATAAAATAAAGAAGACAAAAACACTGTGGCACCTTAAAGACTAATGGCTATACTTTATTGTGAACTTTTGTGGACAAGTCCTCTTCCTCAGACAAGTTGCTAGGTGCCTCATTTTTGAAACATGTTATATGCTTGCTTTTAAAAAAGGGAAGTTTTCTCCAAGGCAGCCTTCAGACCACCTTCAAAATTTATTTTGATCTGGAATTTGAAGAAGACATGCTTCATAACCTGTTGCTTGCCGTTTGGTCTGGGAAGTGCAATTAATCTTTTTTTTTTTTCATTTCTCTGGATAGCTCAGTGGTTTAGGTTTGCCCGCCCAGACCGAAATAATGAGACAGACACAGGTATATGGGGTAACTAGGGCCACAACTTTATTAACTTGTCTATAACTTTGACCTTTCGTTTTACAAGAGGGCCAACCATAGTGCACAAAACCTGGTCTGTAACTGGTGTCAACTTTGACCATTCCAGTCCAGACCACCCATTAAGTTCCTGTAGCGAAGGCGTGTTGTCCCACCATACAGCATGCCTCTGTGTTTCCACTCGCTGTGTTATCCCAGGTCCAGTCTGTGCTGGCCTCCAAAACCTAAATGCTCAGCGTCCTCTGGGGTCCCC